GCTGCAGCTCCCCGCCCTCCGCGCTCCCCGCGGGCTCCAGCACCTCCAGCGTCCACCCTGCAACACACGCACGCACACCACGCGATTAGGCAGGCGGCATCCACTGGTGGATTGATGCGTGATGCGGGGCGCGTCAACTGATAAGGTCATTAGCCTCGTAAGTGTAGTGCATGATTTTACATAGGGAGGCGGCAATGATTTTCCCCCGCTGAAGATGAGATCCGGTGCCGACCTACCTGTCGGTTAGCTGGATTTCCCCAATCAGGTATCTCCCACGAACGGGTATATACTGGTATATACTCTAAGCTCCCAACCGATGTCCCGACAGGTGTGGTAGAGAAGTGCATTGTAAGTGAAGTGTAAGGGGTGAGTACAGGACAAGGAAGAGGAAGGAAAGATTGCGCGCGGTCCGTGGCCCGTTAGTAGGGGTATTGCTCCAGCATTCGTCTGGTATTGATCGGAGAATTGCAACATCGATGTCGATGTTTTCAAAACATCAATATTATACGAACATCGATTTATAGAAACAGATTTTTTAATATCGACGTTTTGAGCTCAATGTTTTTATTTCATTGAGAGTTTATTTTTGAATTAAAAAATAATAAAAAAGTCTTCAGTCGAAAGTCACCGAAAGAAAAGTAAGACTGTCAAATTTGTGCTAATAAATCTAGTTAGTATTTGTGTACTATCCAAAAAGGTAATCAAATGTGTTAATAATTGTTCTTTAATTTGCTACACTGTTGTCAGTTAAAAATCAATTACAAGGTAAACACTACTACCGTAACATGAAATCGCCTCCCCCTCCTGCATGTGAACACTGATATTGGAGGTTACTATAATAGTATTACAAACATCGTTGTTTCAAAACATCGATACTTTTAAAACGATGGATTTTGAATACCCATTTTTAAAATTTGTACATCGATGTATCGTTTATGTTGAAACCCTAATTGCAATCAGACGCGTCTGTAACAAAGAACGGATGCGCACTTTGCAAACCTTGGTGCACCATAGAAATAATAGCACACGTCTGCGGAGAACTCGTAACTGTAGTTCACCTGTTCTGCGATGATCTTTAATGGGCGACTCACCGGGAGCAAATTAAAATGGTGCAAGGAGCAGCCATGATGTAAGATTATTTTTCCTCCTGAACAGACACATTTGTACTTTTCTAGGAGTCTTACCAATCACTTCGCTAATACATTACACAGGATAACAGAATCTCAATTTTTCTCCTTCCATAAGATGCAACCTTTATTTGATTCGACGTAAAAGAAACCCCAAACTGATCTTGTGATCTGGCTTCGCAAGATATTTTTGTCAATCTTTGGCGTTATAATAAACAAAAGGTGTTATAAACGTAAAAAAAATCGGTAAGAACCTTTGACGGTACAAAACTGTAAGAATAATGATATTTTGTCTATTTTATTGGACTAGCTGAAAGGGAAAACGTGGGCAACGGCACTTAAAGGTTTTTAAGACTCATTTTACTCGAAATCGTATGATGAAATTTTTCTAATAGTCTAAAATTAAAGTTAAAGTTAAATATTTCTTCAAATTTCACCCAAATTTTGGAAAATGTTGGGTATTTACTTAATTTTGCGAAAATACATAAAATCAAGTATTGTGCAGATGGGAAAAGTCACTGCCTCCGAACTATAAAGTTTAATATTATTTT